CCCCCCCCCCCCCCCTCAATATTTGACCAATTGTCCGCCCCTGTTGCAGAGGTTGGCCTTTCACAAATTGAATTTAGCTTACTCAATACACCATTAATTCGATGTTATTCACGATAACGTATATATATATATATAAATTCAATCTTATTGCAAAAGTCATTACCTTTCTGACGATATAACTTTTTATATGAGTCCATTTACAGTTAATTGGAAAATGAATTTCAAAACCTTAAAAGATAGCCATAGTGCGCTTTCTTTCCATTTTATGCTACCTTTTTCATTTTTACTATTTCTGCCCCCCCCCCCCCTCCTTGTTTATCTCTTACCATTTCTAAGCCTGGTTATTGTTCATTCCTCTCCTCTCTTGTTTTGTACCAGCCCGAACATACTTGTTCTTATCTTTTTTACTGTCCAACAGGACACTCTTGAATTTTTCTAAATTTCCTCCAAACACAGACCAAAACAACATGATTTGGAGTGGGAAGTTCGAAAAGGTTGGGAGAAACAACAGCTGAATTGTCAGCAATGGATCGTAGGCAGTTTTACTTTTTACAGAAAGGATTACAGAAAAACTGGTTTCCGTTTATATGATTGATCTGACAAAATATGCCAACAGAAACAGTTGAAGGTTAAAGCTGATAATAGCTTGAAACAGCTGATAATGCTAAAACTAGCATATCTCAAAGATTAACAAAAATAACAGTTATGGGCCTTGACCCAGCAGATAACGTACTATAAAAAAGGTTGAGATCATCCCACGACATATATTTTTAGAAAGATGTTTGCAGCTTAGATATATTTAGAAACCTATTTGGCCTTGAACTTATCAATGTGTTAACTGATTATCTGTCCAAGAAAAAGAAAGAAAAATTTTCCTGATACACTTTGATAAATTATGAATATATTTGTATAAAACTTCTTCACTTCTGTAATTACTTTCAGATTTAGCTTAATTTTCAGCAGTATTTTGATTTTAAACTTTGTCTATTTTAGCATGTTACCTTTATACAAGTCTTTTGATAATGGGGTAATAGTTTGTAGGACGATTGAAGTGTATAAACAAATGAATAAATGAATAAAAATGAAAGTGAATAAATGGGATTTTGATAAGGTCGCAAAAGCATATTTCGCAGTGGAAACACTATTTTTACAAGAAACTATTGTTAAAGGAACATCAAGCGAAAAATCCCTTTGCTACATCAAGCGAAAAATAACAGAACATCAAATGAAAGGTTGAACAAACCTCAGCTTCTTTTAGCTGTGAGCATAGTTTCTCAATTTCAGAAACAATGGGCGTAACCTCGCACAAGGTAACCAAGAACACCCTTCGCTTTTGCAATCGATCTAACAAGTGCTTCCATTTCTTGGAAACCTGGTCTTGCCTGAAAAATATTTCGGATATATAACGTCATTTAAATAAATAATGTTATCATATATAAAAAAATAAACCTATTTTGTTTTGACAAAAAAGAGTATTTGTGACATTAATCTGACATGCTTAGGGTGCTATTGTTGTGTTTAAAGCAGAACGAATGGTATGAAAACAGATGGAATATATTGGAACATTAGTGTTCTCAGCGTACACCTTTGGTCGCAGTCTTTTAAGACAGTTCTAAACTCATTAACAGAAAGAATTGTCAGATGGGTCCAAGGCAGGATCCCTGTGGTATTTGTTTTTTCATTGCTGTTGTAACAAATGACCTATTTGGAAAACAAATTAGATGATAATCTCCAGTTAATAATCGAAGTTTATATTGCACAAATTAACACTACAGGATTTTGTATCAGGAAGAACAATGTAGTGAACCATATCGAAAGATTTTTCGAGTTCAGAGAGAGGCTTAATGTGAGTTTGACCGTCTTGCTCCACCAAGTTTATCGATGGTTATTAACATCAGACGTATAATTATCAGACAATCCTTGAACATAACTGCACATTCAATATATCAGGGGTAAAACTTTCAAATGTTTAGGAGAGGTGCTTCTTAGGAGAGGTGCTTCCTGAGGCAAAAGATATTTCAGGTATAGAATGCGGTCTGTAGACACAGGAAGACTTTGCTTTGCGAATGCTAGACTGGACATAGAAAGTGAATAAAACGATAAAAGATGACATTAAAAGCTAATCAAATTGCTCAGCAGATTAAAAAAAGTGGAAATTAAAAAAGGAGAGAAAGATTATTATTCTGCGCAAATTGGAGAATAAATGGTGAGAGTGAATGGGATCAGTGGTTACCAAGCGAAGAATGATTTCCTTTTGACTGAGACAAAATTTTTTGAATGACAAAAGCTAGCGAGAAAGTCTTAAATCATTTGGGATCACACACTATAACTGTGTATATATTAAACCCAAATCATCGAAAAATGCTGATAGTGTCTAGACATATTGTCGAGAGGTAATACATTTAAAAGATTTCTGAATTCAAATTTCTTTGAGTTAGAATTCGCCTACCTCCCCGCAAAATAATTTCAAATTTTATAGAAACATCATATAGACATTGCTTTTCTCCATTTACTTAGGTAAGGGAGACGAATTCTGAAATTATAAGAGATACTGATTGCCTTATCTCAACGCTTTCGTCAAATCGTTGAACTTTGTAGATCTTGGAAGATATTGATCTGAAGAAATGACAGATTACATATTTTACTAAGAGTAAAAAGAGCACGGCTTAAGGTTCTGCCGATGTAAGCCTTAGCGGTATTGGTGATACACATTCTCAAATGAAAAGCCACATTTTCTAATGAAAAGCCACTTTCTCACCTTCCTTGGATATCATGAAATCCCTCGTACATCTCTCTGGACAACTTTGCGCAGATATCATTGACTGATTTTATCTTTATTTCCTGACGATAAAAATAGTTATATAAGGATGTGAAAACGGACATAAGGAGTTTTTTAGATTGACTTAATAATCCCTAATAACAACAACTTTAACATTCTTATCAATCAATATTTGACGGTACAAAGCTTAAAAATGGCTTTGAAAATAGCAAACATTTGAGCAAACTTAAGCTTTTCGTCTGACACGCTTCAGAGTTTAAAACGTCAGAATATAGATCGAAAACTTTATGCTTGGAAATATATATACAAAGTTGTGGATCGAAAGGAGTTTGTTTTCACCTTAGGACCCCATTGATAACATTCTCAATAGGCAAGCGGCGCTGATTGGTCAACCTTAACAGTCATATGTTTGCGTTTCTGATTAGCCTATTTCGGCTCACAACTGGGTATATATACTTCCTAGCATAAAATTTTCAATCTATGTTCTGATGTTTTAAACTCTGAAGAGTGTCAGAAAAAAAGCTTAAGTTTACTAAAGGTTTGCTTTTTTCAAAGCCATATCCATATCAATCTTCGCTTTGCGGGTTTTCTTCTCTAAAATATTGGTTAATGACGGCATATGTTTTTATAGCACTAAGTAGTTCTAAGTTTCAAGAAATTTTGCCAAGAAAAGCCACATATAAAACTAATATACTCTAGAATTAGCGTTAGATGAATCCAACATACCCACCTTTCCTTTTCTAATATGCAAATATCATTCAAAATATTCATTTAAAGTTTAAGTTTGTCATCAAGTTTTCACTGCAGTAATCCTGAGCAAACTAGATGACAAGAAAGTGATCTGAAAAAGAAAAACACAAACTTGAGCACCCCTCCCCTCCCCTACCCTCAAGCGAACCTTCCCTCCCCTCAAACGCTTCATCAACCTTGCTTGTTGTTACGCAGGTGGGTGCATCTAGTATTTTCTTGCATGCATATTGTCAGTATGAATTTTTCATTTCCAGAGAGGCATTTTTTGATGGAAAAAGGAAATATGGAATTATGATACTAAGTACTATTTCGATGCTAAATAGACAGGCAGGGAGTATCAATGTGATTGGCCATACCATGATTCTTACCCGCAATCTTCAGTTCTCGTCTCAACCGCCCTAGAGAACCGCCTAAAAGAACCAAAACCATACTTTGCCAGTAAAAGCCACTTACCCTAGCCTTGACGTCAATTTCCAATGCTTCGTGTCTTTTAAGACTCACGCTTGCATCAGAGACTTGCAAAGACTTCGATTTCTCTTCCGTTTCAATCACAGCTAACATGTCATCCAGCCACGATTCTCTCAGCCTAGCCTACGGACAAACCAGCGGTAATGCAATTTTCGCAAAATTTAGATGCTGAAAATTTACAAACTTTCAACAAAATCAGCAATTGACGCCCAACAAAAAAATTAAAAAAAGTTTTAAACTTCAAGTAACATATTTACTACAAAAATATATACTTTTACCTTTTTTTCAAATCTTTCGACCAATTGTGACAGTCTCTCCTGCCTGCAAAATATAAGACCATAAATCCATACAACCTGAGACACAAATGAAAAAATCGACGATCAAAAAAGACAATCAGTTCTAAAAATAGATTCATTCCTGCTTTCTTAGAAGACGTCTGATGTCAAGAAATGCGAGGTTTCAGCTATCTTATAAGTGAGAACAAAAATGGAAAAATCACAAGTATTTACGAGTTAAGTTGTACTTCATGCTTTTCTATATTATCTAATATTTCGTTAAAAAGCCTTTCCAGCAAAAAATTCTCTTCCATTTTTAAAAAAATAGTTGCTGCGGCTTTTAGTGTGACAGGCCCTTTTTGATGACAAAATTCAAATTATTTATCGAATTATAATTCTTAAAGATGCTGTGACGTCAAACTTACGTAGCAGAGTGTCACCAAACAGAAAAATTCCAATTCAAAGAACAGTTCAGTTTTCGAAATGCAAGATATTATCAAATCACAAATCACAGTGAATCACAACAAATCACAGTGAATCACAACAAATCACAGTGAATCACAACAAATCACAGTGAATCACAACAAATCACATATCATATATAACATAATATAACACACAAATTAACACAACATTGGCAAACCAATAAAACATCAATGGTTAGCAGCTTAATTCTATTAGATAAGCTAATAAAAGGGGATTATTAAGGGGATTGTATTAACTAAAGGGACTGGAGAGGCAATTTAAACTGCCCAAAATACTTTAAGGCAAGACACATTAGAGCTGAAATCAACACTTCTGAAAATCAATAGAAATGAATAAAAAAACTTCGTCATTATCTCTACCATCTGCAATCAAATTTTCATCGTCGTTACTTTGAATGTTGAAATTACGACAACCGTACCTCGCAAGTTCTTCGCGTAACCTTATTTCCCTTTGGTGTTCCCCTTTTTCGAGTTGCTGCCATGCTATATTGATGTCCTTTAAACCTTTACCATCTGGAGGACAGTATGGTCGCAGTCTGTATGCATTGCTTTTTGTTTGGATTACAAAGAACAGCTCTTCGATGTTTGCTCTCTCCTTGTATCTAAAAATCATATCTTTATGTTATGATTTTTAGATGGTCTTTGTAATTCCAAACAAATGACATAGTTAAAATGTTATAAAAGAAGTCAAAGAAGGGTTGAACTGATAGAAGTGAATTACACCCAGAATTGACACCCAGGACTAAAGGCAAACCGATATCAATTTACTGTAACGTGGAGCATTGAATAAGCCCTCAAATCTTTTGAGCGGCCACAAACTGCAAGTTATTTCGGAATCGTTGCTCTAAAACTCAGGACTGAAGTAATCGAAACTTTTGAGCAAAAAAACTGGAAATATCTTAAAATATGACAAACAATCTTTTGGTGGTACAAAACTTGAAAATGGCTTTGAAAAAAGCTAACATTTAGTAAACTAAAGCTTTTCGTCTGACACTCTTCAGAGTTTAAAATGTCAGAACATCGACCGAAAACTCAACGCTAGGAAATATATACAACTGGGTATATATATTTCCTATCGTAGAGTTTTCACAAAAGTCGTAAGTAACTAAGAACGAGCATCGTGGAAAACTCCTTGAAACAACAAAATAAGTTAAATTACAAATTGGCTGAGATATGACCAAATGTGCACATGCTGTTTTCAGATCAAATCGTTGTAATAAAGTATAAATTCAAAACTTATTGAACCATGCCAAAATAACATTAATCCGTTAGCAAACATAATTTTTTTGTTGGCCATATCTCACCCAATGCTAAACAAACTAAACTGATTTTGCATATCCAGAGGTATTTCATGCTGATCTTTTCAAGGAATGTGGTCCATAGCAGAAAAATTCTACAAAATTTTGACGTTATATTTAAGAGCTCTATAACTGCGCAAATAGTAGCGAGGATGTTATAATGAAAAGAAGCACGATAATTTGAGATTGTGGATTTTGGTCCGTCAGTGCAAGGTAACCCTTCCAATTAAAGTGCAAGCTGTCAAAATGAATTAATTATTCAAGCACTTTATGAGAAGTTTGGTCAACATCTGACAGAAAAGTGCAAAACTGTAATCAGCAAAAGTTTATCAGATACATAGAAGTTGATTGATATCTACAGAAAGGAAGGGCTTTCACCGTTTTGAAAATAGTTTGAATCAGTGAATGCTTCAAATGTACAAAGTATTATACCTAAGCATTTGTCCATAATAAATTACTTCAACGATTGCCGGGCCTTTCAACAGCTTCAGAGCCTCCAGAAAGTGCATGAGAAATCAGGCTACACTGGGTGTTTTTTTCGATGTTTAATGTTGAAAAAGCCTTAAATGCTGTAAAATTTTACGGTTATCTATCGCTTATCTGTCTAACCTATCACTCACTTTAAAGACTACGATATCGTGGCTACACATCTTAAGAAAAAACAGACGAAATTCTACACTACTAACTAAGAAATGTGTCGAAGTCCCTTCATTTTTTCAAAAATCTTATGTTTCTTATGCCCACGCACATTGTAATCACTTTTACATTCGTCAAAAGCACCTTAACAGAACTGATTATTGGGCAATATTCGATTACTTAAACAGAGTGGCAAATTCTTAAAAAGCTCCAAAGGGTGATACTCTACAAATAATTGATAAATAACAGAAAAAATCATTCTTACTTTTGGGGTTTCTCGACAGAGCGAAGAGCCTTGAATTCGTTCATGCTTTTCTGCAGTAGAGAATTTGTTTTGGGGACATTCCCGTCCAAAGACTTTATTGTCATTGCTATCCAGTCAAGAAGCTCTTGAACCAAATTCGTGTATTTCTTTTTCATATTGTCAATGTCTATGATAACATCGAGGATCTAAGAGAAAAAAGAGAGAAAAGGAAATGCCGATGAGAGCAACATAGAAGGAGTAAGGCAAAAGGGTTAAAATCATCTAAAGGACTCAACGCCCCAAGGCACTTAAAGAAATTCCAGTCTATGGAAATCACCGAGGAAATGTAAAGTCAAACAGTTTAAATGTAAACAGTTGAAATTAATATAAATTATTAACAAAAAAATAAAGGATGCCAAGCATAATCAGTACTTTGATACCATTGAGCGCAACAAGTTCAGCACAGGGACTGTGAAGAGTAAAGTGCGAGCCACTGACTCACGCAGCATCGTCGCTTAAAGCATGGGGATGGTTACGATTTTGACATTGGAGGGAAGGGGGCCAAAATTTGTTTTACAGACATATAGAAATGACTATATTAAGATAACATGCAGAGGTAATGTACAAACATGTAAAAACCAACACAGTCATAGAAGAGAGGGTTAAGCGGCAACATGCGCACATCTTTTAACTCATAACATTTGCACATTGCAATTCACACACTACGAGTTTTTGTTCCTAGATCTGCAAATGTTTTGGTTTGGAGACCTTTAGGACACCGGGGAGCAGGCCCATCTGCCCTCTCTTACTACTCCCTGGTTTAAAGAATTAAAAACGGTTTCTAACTTTTGTTTCCATAAACACAGAATAGAAGATGACAACTCTAAAAGGATGACTGGTCACTCTAAAACCTGTTACAAAGCTTTGGCTCTAAAAGCAACTCAAAACGAAGCAGCAAACTGCATTCTATTTGATTACCTGTCCGTTTGCCTTTCGCTTTATAACAACAAGCTCAGCTAATGAAGATTCTCTTGGATTTGACGAGCATTCAAATTAAGAAGATTGAAAGTTCTATTCTAGTGAGGACAGCAGTGAGACCTAAATATTGGTGCCTAATATCGAAAGTTATTTAACAGAGAGAACTTACAGAGGACTAGCTTGGCTAAATCAAAAATAACAGACGTTTAGTTCGTTTTATATGAAAGTTCGGTCTAATGATCGTTATAGCTGGATTCAACACAGGGCCAGACAAAGTTAACGAACATCTGTAAAGCTAATTTACTGGTAAAGTGAAAATATCATATTTGATGGTAACGCTTTAAAAAAACGATAAATTTCGAAGAAGAACCTCAGAAAAACAGTGGAGAGTGATGAAGAGCCAATTCCTAGCGATTATATCAACATGATGATGACATTGGTTTTATTACAAAATTTTTATGTTAATATCTTTATATCTCAAATAAACAGATATTGACGTATTAAGAGTAAAAAGTTTCACATCAAGGTGCATTTTATATGCTGTATTTTTGACAGCCTTTGGTGTAACTGAAAATGGGGAATAGTTTGTCGAAGATGGGCATAATCGATTGGGTAGGGTAAACCATTAGACTTCTTCTTAAGGTTAGAAGACCGGTCTTGTCATAAAAACAACCTGGAAAGCAATTCAAGGCTGTAAAATGCAAAAAACATAACAGAAATCGACCATGTCTCATTTATCTGCATTTTTGTGCTTTACCTTGGCAACTCTTTTCCCACCAGTTTCCTCGTGTTTCATTTTTGCAAAACATTGGTATAACATTGACACGTAGGTCATCACTGATTTTTCATCCAGCCTGGGATTATCTAGATCTGAAATTGAAGGCACGCTTTTTAGTAAATACGATAATATTTCACACCTGTACCAAATATAATAAAACAAACATAATAGACAACTATTACAGCATCGTGTAATACTATGCCAAAGGCATGTGATGATTTTTTTTTATCTTAGAGATTTTATCTTAAAGATTCCTGAAGAAGATACACAGCTGAAAATAATAAACAGCAAACAGAACTTACAGCAACTAAGATAAATGAATAACGTTACCACAAACTAAAGCAACAAAAAAAACACGTAGCCGATATAATAGAAATTCATTATGTTTTGAGAAGTGGGAGTTATCAAATGGGGGAAGGATATTTTTCTCCAGGATTAAAGAAGAAGCGTACCTGGTTTAATAAAAAAGCTTATAAAACTTGAAAGGGACAATTAGAGTAATGTGTTAGAAAAAGAATTTTACAAATAAGCTCTCCACCTCATATCAAACTCATTGGATTTTATCGATAAGAGAATTTAAAGTGTCTAAATAGCTAATCTTGCGCGAATAACTATGTTGTATCATTTAGGTAATTTATCCCCAATAATCATACCCTATACCAGCTCAACCAGCAAGGGATGGTTTAAAAATGTGATAGGAAAAAAAAGCAGCATTTTTACTTCTTATCACACTACTATAGGTCCTTTGTTAACAAGAGCATTCAAATTTATCATCGTTATTACTGTTATTATCCTTGATTACAAGTTCAAGGTTTCTCAAGGTAATTTACTTTTTAACAGAAAACCTGTATTAGTGAGTACACAAGATGTGAAAATTAGCAAAATCTGAGATGGTGGGAGACATTTTCACTTTTTTCTAGGTCATTTGACATGGAATGGCCCATTTGTTACCATTGGTACTGTTTAGTACATTGCCCAACTACAACCCCCCCCCCCTTTCCCCCCTACCAGTTTTAATCATACTGTAACCAGTATTCTCTAATGGCCTTCAAGCATGCAAATGAGGCTTCAATAGTTTGTTGATAGGCAGCTGACGCTGACCACATAACACGATAGAAAACCTGCGATATTTTTATAAAAAAGTTTCAACAAACCAGTGAAGCAGGCTTGCATGTTATGAAAAGTGAGGGGAAAAGCATAATTTATTTGTAAGTTTATGCAAATATTAAACTAGTTATCACTACATAATGCCAGATAAAATTACCTTCAGGATCAAGGATTTTTGCCACACCAAGCTTTTGTTCGGCAATATCAAACGCTGTGCCTAAATTTGATCTGTGTTGTTGTGGTTGGAGCTTTGAAAAGTTCAGTAGATCAGGCCTTGAAGACATAAAAAATTCATTAATCTTTCTGTAATTTGTTACAGACTTAAATCAAGATTTTGATATCGCTGATGTCGATAGTGGGAGATATCGGGATATTGCTGGTAAAACTTCCTTTAAAGCTGCTTGAGAGATGAACTACAGTTGAATAATGAAGTTAACTAAGAAAGCAGAGATGTGATTGAAAAATCACAGATTAAGGCTAATAGCCTTAATCTGTGATTATGTTAGCCAAATATAAGCAATGTGGAATATAAGTCCCAATAATTTTGACCACATACCTATGCTTATGAATGAGGGCATTGAAAGCAAGACCATTCCTCCAGCTCGATGTAAAATTTTTTATATCAACTCCAGTATACCTGATACGAAAAAAGTTCACTTCGTGGAATTCTCGGCATTTGTACAGTTCATATCAATGTTATTCAGATGATCAATTGTCTTCCTCAGTGAAAGAAGTATAGTTTAATGGTGTTAAGTTGAACCTTCAATGGGGTAAGAAAGTTTTCTGGCTTAGGAAATGTCTGACTAGTGTGGGGGTACCACTTTTGACTTGAATAAGGAAGGAAAATCCATTTGGACTTGTCAGCCTTTGGAATTCAGAATGCTTGTTGTTGCATCAAACATCAAGAGAGGCATGTTGAATAAAAATATACAATATTTATTTTGTTTTACAAAGGAAAAATGTTTTCTAAGTCCTTCAAAATACCCTTTTGTTTTCCTCTGGCACCAGAGAAGAAGTGCTTCCTTAGCAGATTTTGCATCTTGAGATCCACTCTGAAAAATTATAAACTAAGATAACCTTGTGTAAAAGAATGGACTGACTGAACAAAAAATATAAATATTTGCCCATTTCATTAAAAAAGATAACTTGAATGCATAATAAAAGTTAAACAGAAAAGTAAAGGGTCTTCAGAAAAGAAGAAATAAAAGAGATATTTTGAGAAAAGCTAAAGAGCCTTCTTTTATTTCATAATGGTAAAATTAGACAATCCAAGAGGGAAGTTACTGAGATAAAGTTTTTCTTGCAATCACCTCATTTTCAACTTTTGATATCTGGAATCTTAGAATAATCATCCATATGAGACCAAGAATTAGATCTTGCTTCCCATCAACAATATCCTCAGGCCCTATACTCTCTAATTTTACCTATAAAATATAATGTAGCATCAAATTAATGAAAATGATTATTTCAGTTACCAATATAACATTGTTACTAAATTTTTTTCTAACTATATATACCTTTTGTATAGCAATTTTTCCAATAGAGCCTAATCGTAGAAGTATTACACGTGTACTAAAAGTATACTTTTGGGATGGCATTCCTTAAACTTATACCCATAGATCAAAAGAAATGCAAGAGGAAGGATTGTGTAATTGATAGGGTCCTTTTTTCTACCAATTAGCATAGTCAAAGAGTCAAAGAAGGAAAAGGAACTCTTCCTGTCTGACACAGACTAAGATTGTTTGTTACAATGTTCACAGTTTCAAAAAATGCGAGAATGAAAAGAAAAAGTTCAAAATGGTCATGGCCACATTTATTGGTACACTTTGAATTATGAAGTGAATAATGGCTTATTATAGCCTGCAAACATGGCACACTCTGGATCCAAAACAATATTATTTGCTGGTAAACATTCTCTTCAGATTCAAAGGATATATACTAACAGATTTCTGGAGGAACATTAAAGACTTTGACACATTTTCAAGCTTGTGAATTCTTTGTTTTCCTCTTGCTAAAACAAAAAGAGACAAACATCAGAAAGTAATACACTTGTTTGGCTAATTTCTAAGACAATAAAAATCAATTTGATATTGTTTTCTGTGAAAAATAGGATTAAAAAGCACAGAGGGAGGTGCATATAAAAAAAATCACAGCAAAGTTACCTATCCTGCCAACTCTTTCACCAGAAATTGATTCTAGCAATCGAATGAGGACTCTCCCATCACTGAGATCTTGAAACAAGTCATCAACTTTTAAGTCATCCTGTAGAAATAGGAGCATAGAATATGATGATTTCATAGAACTATAATAATATGTTCTACACGTTAAGAGAATGATTGCCCATCAAACCAAATGGAATACACATGAGGTTTTTAGAAACATACAAGGCTATAAAATGCAATGAAATGAGACAGGTAATAGTTAGTTAATTATGTTCCTTTGCCAATAAAAATTTGTGCATATCAATGGCATCACCACAGTTTCTCCAGAGGTTGATTCTCTTATTTCTCAAAATCTGTTGTTGAAAAAACCTTTTTGTGGGGGGTTGATCAGATTGGTTTTGATTTTCATTCTTGCAAAAAAGTTTTGAACAAGTCAACCATTAGGAAAATTGCTGCATGGAAAAGTTGCATTTCAAATATTTCAAAATAGAATCTGCATGATTTGAATACCTCTTGTAACAATGTAAATAAAGTAGACTGGGCCTAGTTTTTTTTCAAAAACTGGTTAATAAAGCCGTCTTTCTGTGTTGACACAATGTATTGATGTGCCAGATTTAAAAAGTTAGAACAAATCAAGAGGTGCTTTACAAGACCAATGTTGATTGGCCAGAGATGGCCCTCTTCTTTCACCTGTTGCTCGCCACAAGCATTTCGATTGGCTTTTAGAAATTCACAATTCAAAGTCAATCAGTTTGAGAGTTTGAGATAAAATAGTTTGAGAAATAAAAAAAATTAATTGGTGAATTAACTGATGAAATTTTTTTCACTTATTTGGTTTGTTTCTAAAAGAACTTATTATTCATAAAAGTTCGTTAATTTTCAAAGTTGGTAAAAGTTGTAACTTTTGGGTGCACCACAAAGGCAACCGGCCTAGATTTCATCAATGAAAACAATCAGTTGTTTAACTTGCTCATACTGGGAAACTGTTTTGAATATTGAAATAAGATGTTAATGGAATATAAAGCACACATTTGGAAAACTGTTAATCATATATATTATTTTTTTACAATGAAAACAGTCTTTTTAACAGCTTTATCATAAAAAATGCACCAAGAGGGTGAGGCCACTCTAGATAAAAATACTAGAAAAGGCTTTTCCCTCATTTTCTTAGAGTTTGAAGGGTGTAGTCAGAGTCTGAAGGGTGGAAATGTTTGTTGTCCACCCCAGTTTTTTGGTCTGGCAACCTTACTGGCAGTGGAGGTTTTAGGGACTGCAGAACCTGGGGCCAACAAAAACTGCGGGTCCTTATTCTTTACAATTTCTATCGTTTTCTTAGGTGTAGTGACCCTTTTGGCTATCATAAGCGTGGGGCCTGGGGCCATGGCACCCCTGGACCCCATTTAAAAAACCGCCACTGCTCACTGGTGCATATGTGCAGTAATAGCTTGCACTTCATGCACATTATTCAGGTTCTGGTCCAGCAGCTTGAGCAATATACAGGCTATAAATGGCTCTTAACTACCTGATTGACAAACATTTATCTCAAAGCCTGTAAAAAACTCGACAAACCTGTAAAAATGTATTCATCCATTTCGTGAAAATTTTCTTCTGTAAATAGATTCTCTCGTTTTTGAGCTCTTGAATGCGCTCAGTTTCAAATGTTGGTTGCTCTGCTTGCTCCATAGTGAATGCCAAAAGCCGTTGTACCGACTCTTGATCTCTTGGCCTAACTAAACACACTCAGGGCTATGTTTCCATGACTTCCAGATATAACAGCAAACTCCATTGCTATATATCTCTTGCAATTATACAGTTTGGCTCATTGATGACATATCTTAACTAATTTGACATAAACTTTGCAATCTACATTGGACAAATCAGATAATTTTACGTTTCCAAGCAAAAGTGCTCTTCTTAGCAAACAATTCCCTGTTCAATTTGTCAATACAACAACAACATTCAATTTGGCGCTCTTTGTACTTTAGAAGTGTCTTCATCTCCACCGCAGGGCACCCGACCCGCAAAACAGGAACATCAAATCCAAATTCAAACCTCTACGTTAAAGGTCGCAATAAAATACAGTATATGTTATTTGATTTAACCAAAGCCACCATTTAACATTGAAAAGTAATAAAAACATGAAAGATTGTAGATGAAATGTTGCCCAGAAGATTTATCGAACCCAGTGCCCTTTTGTAGTAGATAAATAGTACATTTGTGTTGTACATAAAAAGTATAAACATTGCACAAATTGAATTTTGAAATATTTTTATCAACTGTAACAGAACAAAATTGCCTATAATTAAGAAAATATTACTAAAGCAGGGACTTGGGGCTTTGACGAGTTGGCAAAACACAGTTTGCTCTGTTATTTTTGATGCAACAACCTTGATGTCATCTTGGAGCAAAAATTGGGGGCTACGGACCCCCAAGCCTCCCGGCTCTAGCGTGCCTGTAAAGCAAAAGAAAGGGGGGAAAGGAAAATACGGTAGTTTAAAACTATAGATGACTTTCATTTCATTAGAGAAGGAACGAAGATATTCGGACCTCGATAAAATAGGAGTGCCTTGTTGTCATCTTGTTAAGTAGAAATATGTTTTTGCCGAATCATTTTGCTTTTACTGGAGTATTTTCCCCTTCGCCGACAGTGAAGATTTGGCTTTCCAGCGACGGAGCAAATGCAGTGAATTTTTCTTTTTAAATGAAATTTTTCTTCTATTTTAAATGAAAATCTCAGATTTTTGAGGTAAATTTACTGAGCTATGTCGAATTCAGATGGTGCCAATTGCCTCTCAATCCTAATACTTCTGGCCACTGCTTCTCATTCCGCATCAGCGGTCCTGTTTAAAACTTCATAAAAAAGGCTGCAGATATGTCAAGATAGTTGTTAGGGCCATAATATAAATGCATGCTGGAAGCATAATATTTCTGAACAACGACCGAAAGGGGGCAAAAGTGTCGCGTACAATGGGGGCATGAGGGTCATAGTTCTGTATTTTTCAGTAAAACCTCCTGTTAATGGTTGATACAAGACATTTTCTGTTCTGGGCTCCATTCTGTGTCGCAAGCAACTAAACTTATTCTGTGTCGCCAGCAACTAGACTTTTTGCAATCTTTGGCCCCCTTTTGTGTCCCTGCTACTTGGGGAACCTAGATGTACTCGCTCAGGAATAGGGTTACAGAGCTATCAATAATCTTTTGCTAGAAAAAGAGTCAAAGAATTGCACAAGAATGATTCGTAAATCGAATGGTTATTGAAAAATTCTAACATCGGTTAAAACCATCTGCTTTGTTGATAATAAGAAAACAAACAAATTTTATTAGAACAAGAAGTTGCAAATTCTATCTAGAATAGTATAGAGTTCTTAAGTGATGACGTCACAAAAATCGATTCATTAGAAATTTTAATTTGGATCCCAGATTGATTTTAGATTGAATTTGGCAAACGTTCACTCTTTCATCGGCCAAATACCTCACCCGATTTTTGACATATTTATCTGATTTTGCTGATGTTTGGAAGTATTTCGTGGTACTCCTTTCGGTCGTAAGGTCAAAATTCAAACATTCTGGAAACCTGTTTTGTATGACGTCACACTTAAGAACTCTATTCATTTGTCTGTTTTGTTTGTTAATTAAAAATGCAATCAGCTAGTGGTGTATCGAAGAAAACCTTTATTAGAAATTTTCAGAATGCAAACAAAAACTTAAAACAATAATTGTTTATGCAAACAGTGTAGAAAACCCAAGCCTCAAAACATATAAAACTTTCTACAATCTGCTCGGTAGAAAAAAATCAACTTAAAAAGTGAACTATAACACAAAGGCGGCCGACACTATAAGTAAGTAAGGAAAAACAAAAAAATCTAACTACATATTTAAGGGCGACCGACACAATTTGAAAATAGGGGTAGGGGATATACTCCGCTGGGTTACGGATTTGTGCCGGATTTTCTTTGTTTTGGGATATTAATGAGGGTCATACACATATAAGCATCATGTTGAGAGATTGAGATAAATTTGGACGAAATTCTGAGTCAACATCCTCTAGTAAAACAAATAATAAATATATTGGTTTTCTGTTCGGACTTCTGAGGCTGAAACTAAAAGAAGGAACTGAAAATGTATTAAAAACATAAAAAATAACTTGGAATCATCACCTTAACAAGCACTTGAAGGAATCACCTAAACATCAACACAAAATGACTATTCTGCTCTTAAAAACACTACCTAGCGGTTCCTTCGGCCAAAAACCTCTACTATAAGCAAAATGTCTAACTGGTTTCTAGTATAAAATGGCCAGGAACCGGGTGACATAGGATTAGGGGCAAGTCCCCGACGAAAATACCATAGTTAAGAAATACCCTCCCAAGAACCCTTGGAAAAGTGTCCCTGTTTATGAGACATATTGCCCTTTTTACCTCTACCCCTCTAATTTTTAAATGCTTCCGACGTTCCAAAAAACGACTCAAAACCAACGAAGACCTACGGAACATGGCACCTTCGGTAAACACTTTCATTGCTTTCTCTTTATGTATCCTAACCGCTTGCTTTTTGGATGATGTAAGCAAAAAATTATCTCGATGCTACTTGAGCTCTAGATAATCAAAATAGTTGGGTGTCATTTTCAGATAATCTAGAAATAGAAAATGACTTTAAAAATTTGATAAAGTTTTATATAATTTATTCTTTATATTATTCTTTAACTGAGCAAAACTCGAGTTGTGAACATTTTTTTAAACAAACGCTCAAATTTTAAATGGGATTGGACATATTTCTAGGGTTCAGGATGTTACTACAGTTTTTGTAAAAAGTGTTAATGGCCTCATGAGAGTCTGAGTTTAATTCCCCAGCCCCCAAAAGTCAACGTTGGACCAGCGTGCCATACCGTAGGTACGCCCTTTTCTAAAAAACGGGACAAAACCGAAGACAATGAACTAGATCTGCAAATATTATCAGACTATATTTGAAAACTATACAACCTGGATAAATTCTTGATAAAAATCAAGTGCTCCTTCTTACAATTGGACGCATAAAATCATAGAAATTCTGTACAAGCTAAGTAAACTCTGGTGCGAATTATTCAAAACTAGCTTCACGCTGTATTCTTCTCAGAGATCGTTCGTTTAAAAAACTATATGAATGACGTCACCAGAAATGATGATACTGCACCCAGCCCAAGTCCAAGACTGATACAACATGCCATGACTGTGCCAGCTAACTCTGCGTGTTCCCCTTCAACGGCACTAAAACATTAAGAGTCAAGATTCAAAAATTGACACATTACAGGTGTTTCTAAAAAGTCTGTACGCCAATGTTAATCTTTTAGCTGCAGTCAATACAATAAGAAAAACTATATCTTGATATGAACTATAAAGCTCTAAGCTAAACAAAACACCTACTTCCAGACTGCCCAATGATAATATTTCAACAGCAAATATTTCCACAGAATTAATTCTTCCCTTTCTTTCTGTTTCTTCTCTTTCAATGTATCAATTTTATAGTGAAACCTCGGTTCGCAAAGTCATGAGGATGAGAAACATCAATAACACAATCCAACATCAATAACACCTCTCTGTTAAGGCTTTTCAGCTTGATTCTCAAGCAATAAGGTGCTGCAAAGCAACTGTGATTATTATCGCAGAGCTAGCACCAATTCTAATATCTCTACGGTCTGCGATTCGAGAAAATGAGCTCCATGCTTCAGTTTTCCCCGGATTATCTGTCTATTACTGTGATGCTGTGAAGTCCTATAATATGTATAAGATGCTGTGCGGTTCTTTCGGTCTCTTCCTTCAATGTTTTTCCCTTTATCAACCATTCTCGTGGCTTTATATAACCACTGACACGACAAGATGCTTTGAAAAATCCTAAATGTGACATTCTCACCTAAATTTTCTTACATTCGGCTCTAGCCTTTAGGCGATTATGGATGCCAAAACCTATAAATTACCAACCATTTTCCATCCTTTGCCCAGGAACACCCTTCGTTTACCGGGCGCAATATCGTATCTTAGGCTCATACCAACATGATTGCTAATAACATTCTGCGACACAATCTTTCATCTTTGTAAAGACGCTTGCAATTACCAGGCAAATACCTATTAGTGATCGTGTTTCTTTAGTAGAATGCTTTATCACTAACTCGATTTATCAAGGCTGATTACGACAGTTGATTTGTCTTGCCAAGACAATAGTAGGTAGAATGTCTATCCTTTATCTTCTTTAAAAGCTGAAAATCCCTGTAATTTAACCGTCTTCTTGTGGCTTTTCTCCTTGACGAGGAAATCTTCATCTCCAGCAAGCTAGGTGATTCTATTTCCAATGATACTTTAAAGATTTATAGTCCTTTGCACACAATATACGAATAACAGAAAAAAAGGCACATAGCTGACATAGACTAGTAGTACTAGTAAAACAGCTACCCACCTCGGTCCATACATCATCCCTAAGCTTCCAAAGTAACCATTTGATGTTGCGAAGAGGAGCATAAATACTGCAGGAAACGCATCATGTTTGAATACGACCGGAAAGCTTCTAGGCTGTGCGTTACAGAAAATAAACAGTGGAATAAAGATGAAACGGGCACAGCAGATTGTCGGTAAAATCCATCTAGGCCATCGCTTTCTTGGCTGCAAATAGAAAGCAAAACATTTAAAAATTGGCCAGCTTTTAAATATGTATTTCTCTAGGTTAAAGGCATCAATCAACATCAGCCGATTAACTACCCTGTGAATGACATCACGCTCACTGATTGGCCTATTGTTTATTGACAGATGCTGAAACCACCTTAGTATCTGTCGACCGGATTTTAGCCAGGCATTGTTAACAAACAAAATGAAGATATGTTCGTGTAGCAGTGCCTCTCAAATACAATAAATCGGCAATGAATAACGCTGTCGCAATGTGAGATTGGCATATGGAGGCACCCAGTAACAGTGACGAGAGTTAGCAAGAACAACAGTCTGTTAGTTCAAGTAAATGACAATAGTGACAATAGCGATGGTGATAATGCTGTCAAAATTGTAAAGGCTGTATTAGATGCGATTGCATGTTTGCTACAAACAGTAAACAGTAAACAGTACATATACTTTGTCTTTGCTGATAACAACACTATATTTTGTTTAAACAGCGTTTAAGGCTGTCTTTAGCTGGGCAGTCATGTTTCGTCCGGTCTGGTATCCATGTAGGAGCTTGGTTATGTTAACAATTGATGATGGAGAAAGTTGCCAAGACAACAAAAGCAGCAATAACGATCAAGCTAAAGAAGTCAAGCCATGGTGGAGCAGCAAAACCTTGCATTCAAAGAACTTTTCAACCATATTAATCTTTGAATATATATATATACCTGATGATTGTTCACACATGAAACTCAGAGTTGTGTCACAATAGTCTGCTTATTTTAGTCTATCTAATCGCTCCGATAAGTTGAGCACTTTTTTCAAATGCAAAGCTCAAAACTCAGAGCTAGCAATTCAATTCAAACGAAAATGCCCTGCGCAATTAAAAGAAACATTGCCAATTATATTCTAGCTGGCCAAAGAAGATTAAAACGAAATGTCTTTCATAATCCTCTGAAACGGTGCTTTAAAAACAGCTCATATCAAATAGAAATTAAACATCCAAAAATGGTTAGATGAGGCAAAATGAGACACAAATTGAATTGTCTTTCTGAGAATCTAAGGGCTGATGAAGCCCCGTATGCCGGGGCGTAATATTAGCCATAACTGACTTATGTGTGTCTGTTGTTGTTCATTCTCATCACGCTGCGGTGTTCCTTATTTACTAATAACATTTATAGCACATGGTTTTCTCAAAAGTAGGAACCTACCACAAAGTTGATGATAAAAAAACTAATTAAGACTGCCATGCGTCATAAGACTGCCAAACTCAACCCCCTCAGCCGCATTAGATTCAAGGTCAAATCAGTTATTATATCTGCATAAACTCTACCTACTGCGCGAGAAATCACTTTAATAAAACAAAGAAGCGAAGGATTTCAACATCCTCATGAGACAAAAGGAAGCAAAAACTCACTATTTGAATAAACCCAGCTAAGACTCTGCCCAAATAGTCACCGAGGTTGAAAAATAAGAAGCAGGTGATGGCGATGAAGAAATCTAAAAATTGAATAAAATATTGCAAGTTATCAGCAAGGTAATGCTTACTAACAAAACATGTCAAAAGCAAGCATATTCACAAGAAAAGGAGAGACTCGCCATTTCAAGCTAAAAGCCCAAAGAAGATTAAAATCGTCTTTCCTTCTTTTCTTACCTCTCCACTAAATAAAGATCTGATCAGCTGAAGGGCTTAGTTGCTAAGCATACCGTAGATGGTTTACCCTGGCCGTTACATAGCATTGTGTTAAATTAGAGATAGCATAACAACGGTAGGAAAATGTGTAAAAGAAACAAGAAAAAAGAGTGGAGAGAAGAAAAAAGAAGTGGGAGAAAGTGATGCAAAACATGAAAGTGACAGTATAAAGCTTTTCGTCTGACACTCTTCAGAGTTTAAAACGTCAAAACGTAGATCGAAAACTCTACGCTAGGAAATATAAATACCGCTTTACATTCTCTATAGGCAAACGGCACTGATTGGTCAACCTCAGCAGTCATGTGCGCGCGTTTCTGACTGGCCTATTTTGATCCATAACTAGGTATATAAATTTCCTAGCGTAGATTTTTCGATCTACGTTCTGGCGTTTCAAACTCTGAAGAGTGTCAGACGAAAAGCTTTACATTCTCTATAGGCAAGCAGCACTGATTGGTCAACCTCAGCAGTCACGTGCTCGTGTTTCTGATAGGCCTATTTCGATCCACAACTGGGTATATATTTCCTTGCGTAAAATGACAATAGTTGAACAAAATGAAGAAAAGCGGGGCAGCAGAAGAGGAAAGAAGTATAAGAAAGTCAATAAAACGAAAAAGAAGAAGAACATATGATATAACGGGGAAGTAGATTCAAAAACATCTTTCCTAATCCACTGAAACGTTGCTATAAAAGGAACTTTAAACTTCGACTTTATTTTACTTCAACGGAAATATAAAGCACGAGCTATGTTGAAGGTCTCTTGATTCTTTACATACCTGACTAAGCTTCTACCAAACATTTTAAACTCCTGTAAAAAATAGCTCATATATTTTATAGTAATGGATAGAACACTCAAAAGCATGTACATACCTGTCCAGGCATTCTTTTCCGAACTGCCAGAGATGATGCGTGATGTTATTGATGGGAAACAAGCTAATGTCACCAGAAATGTAATTGTCACTGCAAAGGCCATAGGGAAAATCTATGGGTGAATAAGACTTCAGTCATTCCACGCATCAATGCTTGAGAAACAGCTCAAAATAACAACATTTGTCATGTCATAATTAGATAGATAGTTGTATAATGATACTGAAGTTTAATATTTCTCAGCTGATATGGAACAATGGTAGCAAATTACCTTTAAACAACAAAAATGAGCAAGTAACTTGGTTCCGTGAAAAATTGTAAATTCCCTTCATTCTTGCCCCTTATTTTAATATCACGTCTACTTAGTCTTTTAATGGAGCATTTGAGCATTTGAAAGTCAGATGCCCTTCCTGACACGTACCGTCGGCTCAAGCAAGGCGAATGCTTGAGCCCTGGCACGCTCTGTTGGGAGTCGAGGGCTTTAACATCTTAGCTATGGCTGCTCAGTTGAAAATTTGTATGAAATGTAGTACTATTTTCTTATATCCCATAACATGTGAATAGCAGAACAGCCTATACATCTAAATGTAGACGGATGAATTTAAATCAGTTTGGGGTGTTAGCAGATTATTTGGCTGATACACGTAGAATCAACAATAAATAAACTAAGAGGTTTGCAATACAAATCAGCTAGCATTGTAACGAACTAAAATGAACGTCTTGCTTTTTTGTCATATTGGACTAAAGTTTATTGGAGTGTCGTTGTAAGTCGAAGACATGTTGTTGGGTCGCAGTAAAGGAGAATGTGCCAGATTCCTGAACTTCAAAACATGTGCAAAACAAATTAACGTTTTGTTCGTAGAAAAGAAGCTTATTAAGTAAAGGGTCTGTACAAAGCCGGCCTACAGAACAAGTCAAAACGGCCAGTTTAGTTTCAAAGCCTCTGTTCTTTTTTTTTAAGAATGATATGCTAAAAAATTGCTTTGTAGTATGAACTGGCTCGCCAAATTTACTTAAATACTATGTCTAGACACGCATTCATCTTTACGGGTAGTCAAATCTTTGCAAAATTCGTCAAAAAAAGAAATGATGCATTGTTTTAATAATGTACTTAAAGGCTTTAGTCACAGTTATGACAAATATCAACAAACCAATTTCAAGGATTGCGCTTTAAGCCCCTTAAAAAATGCTGAGACCACTAGAAAAGAAAACTGTTTTAAACCAATCTAGATACACCAGAGTTCTATAGCAAAGTCCGGTTCATCAAATGATAATATACCAAAAATTGAAGGATTTTAATTCCAGCTCAAATAATCAAATTTTAGCATTTTGGCATTAAGGTAGCTAATCAAGTGTATAAGAGAATTTAAGGAGAATAACCATGCTAAAAAGGTTTTTAGAAGAAATACCTGTTTAATGATTATAAGTAATGAGGATTTCTGTTTGGTTGACTTTGGTTTCGTCTTCAACTGCATTTTTTCATTTGTCTCCTCGTTGTAAACGTCAGGCAGATGATCGTGGTACGAAGGTTCTAAACAAAGAAGAAATACAAAAACAGTCAAAGCAAATTTCAGACATTAACTGGAACTAGGTGCAGCAAGTGAACGATAGATAGGGTTTATACAGTTTGTCTCGCTAGTCTAATCCCGGATAACAAGGAGTGACACTAAGTCGTACTGATTTTTTAATTACCACTAGATTTCTTACCCTATCTTCCGTATATCATAATTTCAAGAATCTTACATAATCACTACCGGAGTCACTTACGATTCAAAATTATTTTTGAAACACAACTTATTAAGATAAGCTTTGATAAATTACAAAAATAGAAACAAAAGTATTGCAGGGAGAAGAAGCAATCCCCCCAAGGAAGACATTTACCGTCTGAAAATGCCCGATTTGAATTTAACTCTAAATTAAGTTTATATTATGTAGCCTTATTTCATATTTTTGATTCTCAACATTTTGATACCAAATTCTACGATGAAGTATGGTTAATTTTTAGAATTTAACAGCGGCGTCAATAAAAGTTGCATCTTTGCCTGATTCAAAAAAGCCTAATTCCCAAAAACTGATCCTTTCTCATTCGTTGTATTGTTACAAAAATAATTTGTGATTGCATATCTGTTGAACAGGTCATATATATTTGCGTTTCTTGCCTTTTTGCTTGTATGTTGTTTTTCTAGTTTATCCTTTTTAAATGTTATAATTATGGATTTAGCAGCCCGGCTCGTTAAAATTCATTATTTTAAGTGGTATGTTACGCAAATCTAGCATGATTATTCAAATCAATTATTGCTTTATATAAAATATAATGAATTGCACAAATAAAATTCATATAAGCATGAGTTTAGTTTAATCAGGAATATTTAAGAAATGGACCTTCCGTTGCTAGCAAACTTTATTGTGATGTAAAATCGGTTTTCACACTACTTTTATGCCCGAAAGCCCATAATTTTAAATGAAGATTTAAACGAAATTGGCCAAGATACTTTATTGCATACCCAGGGGAAGCATCTAACAATGAAACTAGCTCTAATGTGAAACTAGCTCTAACAATGAAAACGTATATGGAATTATTGGACGAGTCCGAAAACTGTTCAAATTGAATAGAAAATAGATGAACTAAATGATTAAGAAAAATTTTTAAAAAATTCACGCTTAAAAATTGAAACCGCCAAACCTACCACATCTGTGCGTGCATGCATGTCTGTTTTCCGCTAAATAGTGCTTCACAAATTTCTAAAACATAAAAAGTTTCATATAAACGTCAATGATTGCCTTTCCAAAACATACTATACATTTTGTATGATTTGTAGCATTCAGTATTTACTATATAAAACGATTTGTAAAACTCTCTGATACGAAATCGACCCTTCTAGGCATGTAGAGATGTCGTCGAAGTTTACATTTCAACAAAGCATAAAGCAATTAATTAATATGACACAACAGATACGATTATGTAATTGAAGATGAGTTGAAATGATAAATAAAAAAGACGATATAAATCCTTATACGTTTTGGTAGATAGAACTGGATGGTTACGAGTTCTACAACAACAAAACCTAAATCTAAATAAAAAGAAATGCTGTCTATATATGCCATTCATGGCGGCGAAATACACAAGGTCATCTGGTCCCTTCCATGGATGATACTTAAAATTCAACAATCAATTTCAAAATAATATGGAAAAAATACAAGCAAAAATAACGAAAAGAATAAAAATGCGATCATCGGGCAACAAGAGCAAAACAATGCAGCTATAGTGTTACGATATAGGTTGCTTCTTCTTACGATGATGAAATACCCGATGATCATGGCCTAGGTCAGAGGGCCTAGACTAACACAACAGCGCGACAAAAAAAACAAGAATCAAATAATCTAACATAATAATAATAATTACTGAAGAATACAAATCCTAAAACGTTACAATAGGTACGACTGATAGATCGTAGTCAATCTTCATTCCCCTGCCTTTCTACTGCATCGTAAATATGGCAACAAAAGTTTTGAACGGGCAAATAACAAGGCAAATTACAAAAGAATATATCATACCAGACGAAAAAGAACAACCATTGCTCCAATGCATATGAATAGAACAGCACTGGCGGTGAAAAAGTAGCCAAAGGCACTCTTCATCACGTTGTTTTGCCCTGTGGAAAGATTAATTTCAACTCAATGGTATTTGTGATAACAGCAAGCAATCGTCAGTATGGCAAGAGTTTTTTTCAGTTTTATTATTTTTTTGTAAATGGCAGACCAACTTAATCTAGGCAACTTAAATGTAATGGATCATAAAAAAGCAAATTAAAATTAGCATAAATACCTAACAAAAATGTCGATTCAATTTCAAAATTATTTAACATCCTATTGAAATATTGAAGAGAAGACAGCATGTTTTTTATATGTCAAGGTTTAGAGGTTTCAGTGTAAACTGCCATTGAAGTCCGACAGGTTTGATATTTGCTGAAGTTTAGAATCCTTATCTTTCTAGAAACTGACTGGTGCCAAACAGTTTTATCATCAGTAGATTTTAGAGCTTGGGCTGTCAAATGTTCACAATAAGAAATGATTGAGAAGTTTGTAAATTGTGATTTTCCCATTTATGCAACAAAAACTAGAAATGGATTTCAAGATAGCAAAAAATGAAATCTTATACTCAAGGACCATATCAAGAATTACGACGATTTGCCAATGTAAAATGGAGTAGCAACTGCTTACTTTATACAAGCCCTGGAGGCTTGCTTCATTAAACATTTTAGTTAAGAGATATTTGGATAGTAGATTCTTAAGAGAGAGTGATTAAATCAAATTACCCGAAAACTAAAAAAAACGTTCACTTTCATTATTCAGTTCATTTCATTAAAAAACGGCTCAGGTATAGCTAAAATATAGCAAAACCCAGGTTTCAGATAGAAATAAATGCTCCATTAATAAAAATATTCCATACAAGTTGGCTCTATGAAGGGGCTTTGAAAAAATACAAGCATTTGTCAAGAATCAAAATGAGATCTTTTGGCTGCTAAACCTATATACCCTGCAGTAGAACGTATATTGTGGAAAACGATTGTAACATTGATGAAACTTACAATACTTGTGAACAAATTTAATAGTGTAGGATATGATGACATGAACTAGAAACTACATACCAAGTTGAGAAAGAATACTGGCAACTGCTGCAAAAAGACCACTTAAACCCTGTGGAAAAATTAATTTGATGAATGGCTATGAAATTAGAGAAACAACTCCGACAAATCTATACAAGGGATTGTAGTAATGAAGTATGTTATGTATTGAACACAGGGGTAAAAGGAGTTATAAGAAGAAGCAAGCATGCGAGCACGTTAGATCATAGTCAATAGAAAAAACTCTGGTCTGGAAGTCTTTTGTTCTAACTCTTTGTTCGTGTTTATTGAAATCACGTGACCTAAGTAAGGGGACGCGTGAAAACAAGTGTGTAGGATTGTTGTTGAGTTTTGAATGTTTCACGAGAGTATTGGTAATTTTACAATCTATTCTGTGCTGATATTATTAAAACTATGGTCAGCTCATATTGTGCAGTTCAGGGATGGGGCATTTCTGTCACCACTCTTACTCGGAAGTAAGATTTCTTAGAACTTCGCGACGCAATTGACAATATTTTTTTGGCTTGGATAAACGGTATAGAAAGAATAACACGACTGTAAACAATTATTTTAAGCGTCACATTGAATCTGGAGATGTTTTTAGTTGCGAGAACATCGGCGTGGGGAAAAATTGGATGGGTTATTTGCAGCCCCCCTATCTCAGACAAAACTGTCACATTTCCGACTCCACTCGGACAGTTCTATCTCAATGAAGAAACGATTTTCAGGGAAGATCCATGCTCAGCCCCCCTGAACGTCGAACATCCGCTACGCGCCTGGCGAAAACCATTACCAATTTAGAAATTTAAGAAATTTTCAATGCTCTGTTTCTCCAAAAGTCACATTTTGTAGTATGTTCAAGCGAAATGAGGACCTCAATTATTGCAATCTTAAATGTCCTGTCTAGACCTGATAAGAGTTTTGAAACAAAAATACGAGCCTTCGTGGAACATTGATGAAGTCGAGTACGTTGCTGATACAGATATGGTTGAAGTTCGAAGAGCCAAAATAGGGTGTGATCAAAAAACTTATGAAAGAATTTTCAGAGGAATACACAAAGGACAAACAACAGGGCGCCCTCGCCATCATCATTTTGGACCAAGGACCGAGATAGCGGGGGGCCAGGAGCCTTGCCCCTCAAAAACTTAATAGCATAAGTAAAATACTTTTATTTTCTAAAATTTGGCTGTTGCTACACTTATTAATCAGGGCTTCACAACCCCTTCCCCCTATCCCAAAAAAGTGAACAAAATGTTGTATCTCGGTCTCTGTTTGGACAGAACAAAAGTATTCAACGTAGAAACATTGGTTGAAAAGTTGATAGATGAAAAAACAATAGAGCAATCAGATTCGACTTTTTTGCATCCACATTTAATCAGCTATCATCTGTTTTAGGGTGTGAAAAATGTTTTTTGAAAGTTAGTTTTTTTAATCGCGAAGACAGACTTTGAAACGCAGAAACTTTGTCAAAAGCCCAAATGTCATTGTTTTTGACACTCATGGGTCGCCTGTGTGCGCTGGGCCTCACAAAACTATCTGCATCTGCTATTGCGAGAGAAGAAAATGTTCTATCTTGTCCCCTTACTTAGGTCACGTGATTAGAATAAAAGTGTTTTCAAGTTCTAGATGAGAACAAAAGAACAGAACAATGGGCTTCCAGACCAGAGTTGTCTCTATTGACTATGGTTAGATGCACCTTAGAATTACAGATCTTGTTGTTATTCGAAGAAAGTATTTTCTTTCCATACTACTACAACTCACAGAGTTTATAGGGATATCAGAGCAGAGCATAGCTAGGAAGTCAATGGCTTGAAAATCATTTGAGAGTGTACAAAAGGAAGCAGTACAAATATATATTTTATAACTGTATCTATTTATTTTTTATACATTCCTAGTCTACGATGACATACAACTTTTTAGTTCGAAATGGACCTTGAACTAACAAAATGAGCAACAAAGTGACTATCAGGATACTGCTCAAATAATAAAAGAAACAAGACAGCCATAAAATTAGTATGATCGAAATTGTCTAGGAGCCCAAGCCATGACTATTTGTCAGTCCTGCTAACAAATCGATGATGATGTATTCTGTTAAAGCAATGAAATCTCCCGTTTTTCATTAAAAGGTTTTTGAGACCAATAATTGTCTTCAAATAAGGTTTTTTCACTTTCATATCAAGCCAGATACAGCATGAATTTGTCTTGAAGAAGTAATCATTGCAACCAAGAACAAACAGCTTCCATGCAACATCCCTTTCTGGTGAATATTAAAAAAACCCGGAAACTTTCCATCACATTGAACTGAAACTTATATTTGTATTACATTATTATAGTTCTGTAAATGCTACATTTTTATATTCAGATCATCAAGTCACCCAAATACTCATTAGGGAATTGTATAGGTAGTATTTTAAAGCAAAATCAAAGAGGCATAGTTTTGGGGGGGGGGGGGCAGGGAGAAAGCCAAAGGAATTGAATGGAATGCAGAATAATTACACCTGGTGAAAGAATTACAGAGAATGGCCCAGGATTCTTTATATTCAAATCAAAGAAACATAAATAGAAACATACTTGTCCCCCCATGACTGCCTGTGTATATCTTGGTGGCAGCATCCCAGCCAGTCCAAAGACACTTCCCTGCAGGACAGCACTGCAAATATTTATGAACACTACAGAAAACAGGGTTATACCAAAGAATGACCCGGTCCAGCTTTCGGTATCAACAAGGACTAGCGATGTGGTAATGACGAAGATAGCTAGCATAAAAACCAATGAGAGACCAATTCTTAGTTTTCTGTTGAGCCTGAAAAAGATAAAAAGCTCTTTATTACTCTATACACGGGAGACTGCAATGCAGTTTTTCACTTTGGTTATCAAATACGTCCCAATTTTTAAATATTACCTTACATAAAGTACAACACATAACCTTCATTAATAAAAAGTTTTTTTGAACAATTTCTTGGTGGTACAGGACTTGAAAATGGCTTTGGAAAAGGCAAACATTTCACAACATAACAGCTTTTTCGTCCTGCACCCCTACCTTGATATGATATGAAAAACACTTGATATGATATGAAAAAACCATTTTATTACATACAAAGAGTAAAACGTCAGAATAAGGGTCCTAAAAAACACGATGGAAAAGATTTACCCAGTTGTGGATCGAAATAGGTCAATCAGAAAAACGCAAGCACATTACTGGCATAGAAAAATTACCACTGGAGTCCAAGAGAGAAAACAAATTCCTTCTGTCTACACAATGGCGGCTTTTTTGCATATAGATCCATTCCTAGATATTTTCAGCAAAAGGGTGGTGATCATTATAAAAAATATTTGGATGATTTACAACCATAATGGAAAATTTTAAAGGAGATTATCAGACAATTTCGTACTTTACTACTCAAAAGACCAATAAATTTCAAGAAACTGGCTTCTATACCACAGCTTCTTACATAAAGAATGGCTTTGATAAGGACAATTAAAGTATTAAAAAATACATACCTGTGTAAGTAGAAAATGTTCAAAAGCATCATTAAAACATTTGGAACCATGGCAGCTACCGAGAAATAGTTCTGAAATGATATTTGAAAGTCTGGCCTTTTCTCCAGTTTCTTCTTGAAGTACTGAAAAAGAGACAAATATACTGGGTAAACCTTTGATGACCACTTGCTTAACTTCATTTTTTGAAGAAAAAATTTGATTTAACATTGAATAGTGTTGAAAGGTTTGTTTCCTGGGTCAGATTTGGTCTGCAAATTGGGATGCAACTCATGTAAAGGAAAGCTCAAACATAATTACAAAATCTGGCAAGAGGATATTGCTGTTGCCAGCCAAAAAGAGCTAACCCTTAACAGATAGGAAGCCATGTTAGCTAGCAATGTGCTCCCTTAAAAATGATGCAGAAAAAAACAAAAATGCAGAATTTACACAAAACAAACAACTTCAAGCTGTGCTTATTTATTCAAAACAAAATTTATTCAAAAGTCTTTTATAACTTAGAAAAGGGTATTGAAGGTGTAAAAACCTCTGTAATAAAATGAATTTTTATTGTATAAAAATTGTTTTATGCTTTTCTTTAAATATGACCCATAAATAAACTGTAACATCCAAAAATCCTGCTAGTCAACTTAATACTTTGGTTCTAAACATGGCATCTAAAATATTCACCTCTTAAAAAAATTTGAAGTTTAGCAATAACCCAGACAAAAGTTATTTCTTGAAACCTGTATCTAGGATGATCAAAGTCTATCATAGTTTGTAGGCACTATTTTTTGTAATTTCAGGCAACAATGGATGTTCTGTTTGACATTCAAATCATACATGAGAATATGTAGTGTCTGAAAATGTAAAAGCCCTCTCCTTTCCATTCTTATGGCATACCAAGTTTTAACCAGCCTTTGAAATATTACTCAAATGTTTTAAGAAGAGACAAATTCTGCTGAGGCATCATTTTGAAACACGGTTGTTATAATGTCAGAAATACAGATTGTCCTACATTGTCAAGGAATATTGCATTAACAAAAAATTCTAGTAGTCCACTCAAATGTGATACATACAGAATTTGCAGTTATGAAAAAGTTCCATGGAAGCAATGTTCCAAAACCAAGAATATACAGTATAATGTAAGACATATGGAGCCTGAAAACAAAGAGAAATATGAGTATTGAGAGAAAAAGAACAAAGATTTAAACTGCTTAAGAATTGGCAGGCACCTCAAAGCATTGAGAGAATGTGGGGTCCAAAAAAGTAGGGGAGCTAAAACCTTATAAAAAGAGTCTTTACTGGTAGTTTATTATTTAATGTTTTGGTGGTAATAGCACCTGTGAGATCTAAAGCAAAACAACTTAAGAATTGTTGACACTCCCAGCAAATATGTTTTTATGTACTGATCAATAGGGTGCAAAAGGTCATCAGCAAATAACTTGCTTGGCAGCAACTGTCTTGATGTAAACTAATGGCCCAGATACCTTATCCACATAGCTCCCAACTTTTTAAAAGTCATTAGAGGGTCAGGTATATAAATATATATATATACCTTGGTACTTATGGCAAATCAGCCATTGAGCTAACAGTCTACTACCATAGGCTTAGATATATCTGACGGTACATGTAATTTAAAATTTTAATTGTCTCGCTGATCAGCAGGTTTATAAAAACTTATGCATTTCTGACCCGCAAATCTGAAGAGCTATGTGTATGTTGAAATTTCGTAAGAGTTTTCTGAGTAAGTTGAAAGTGTGAAAATTTTATACATTCCAACCTTGTAGCAGCACTGTCTCATAAAGACCTTAGCATAAGACCCAATTACATAGCAGTAGATTAAAAGAACAATGCTAATTGCAAATGCCCTATTATAATGAACTTTTATTCCTCTCTCTTAACAATAAATAGGTGATCAAATTTACAATGTATCATTAACAGAACATAAAGAAATTTAAATCTGAACCTGTCCTCTGGTACAATGAATGCTATTTTTGGATCATCTGGAGAAACAGGGGCTTCTCCATCATCTTCCAAAAATGGACTACTTTCTTGGCCTTCTGTTTTCTTTGTAGCTTCTGGAGACAGTATTTGAAGAGCTTGTTTTGAGTTTTTCAGTAGTGCTCTTGTAAATCCAGGTTTGTTCAAATGGAACACCATTGGGTCCTCTGTTGTGTCAGTCTCATTGCTCCTCGCAAGCATTTCATTGGTTTCTGTTTTGTCTGAAAAAACCTTAAATGTTATACAAAGGTACAAGAAATCAAGAGACACAAACCTAGTACCCTTTGAGATCAGAAGAGATGACATGGTAAGAAATGAGGGAGACTTGTACTCCCAAAAATTAACCAAGGTCCATTACTTAATTTTTATACATATGTTGAGAAACTATTAGGAGGGGGTACGTACAATAAAAAAACTTTTTCCTCATGTACAGACAACTTTGCTCTAACTTTTCAAAAGCTTCCTATGATCTTTCTATAAACTTTCCTTGATTCAAACTTTTACTGTGTTAAGAGGCATTGTTGTAATGGGTTGATTTGTGGTCCCTTGCACTCTCTAGAAATGTGTTATCCTGTTTTTAAAAAGGGCATGGTCACTAATGCTATTGTTTGTCCCTCTAGATTCCCAGTCCTCTTAATTTTTTGGGAGCTGGCTTCACCTCTGCTTGAAATCATAGTGTAGCAAATATGAAATTCACCTAGTAATAGCATGCATATTATTGGGAAATCTAGCATATATTGCTGACAAAGTTAGATTAGATCTTTGGTAATCCCATTGCAAAGAAACCAATTTAAGTTTTAAAAAGATATGTAACTTTCATTGCAATTATTAGATTTTTCAAAGTTATCTATCCAAACATGACATTTATGTCATTCTATCCCATCACCTTTGCATTCTTCACATGAAATTTTTGATTGGTTCTATTTTTATGCTAAAATATTGAGGCTAAAACTTGCCATCTGGCTTTAACTTGACTATTCACACACCAAATTGATAAATATGATATTGCTAAAGCAGCTTTCTTGGTCCCAAATCTCCATTACATTTTAGCTAAAGTGTTTATAATCCAGAAATTGTGCATTCCTGATTTTCTTATTATGGCAGCAAAATAATTACTTTTGAGTCTGGCATTAACGTAACTTGACATTGTAATATACAATCATTTTCTCCTCCGAGGGACTTATAGTTTGAAAAGGAACAGATTCTGATTTAAAGCAATTGTCAGGTTGGACCATGCTAACCACAACTTCATTATTCAACCCAATTAAATTATAATTAATAGAGCTTACAATGGGGGTGTCAGAGTATGTAATCCCCTGCAGTGCAAAGTCTATATTTCCTATAACAAAGAAGGATCTATTTTTGCAAAGATTTCTCATCTCATAGTTGGACCTGTTGTCAGATAACTTTAAGTGCCACATCTGAACATAAAAAAGCACAAAACATTCATCTTTGAGCAAAAATATACATCAACAAATCCTGAACTGTTGAAAATTTAATAACCTTTTTTAAAACTGGCGCCGTCAACCACGGGAAACCGACAACGGGACACGAAGTTTCTGTTCGGACAAGGTTAAGGCCTAATAATGAAATAGCTTTTAAATAACTTTCTCTAAAGATATAGTCAATTCGATTCTAAATTCATACAGCCTAAGTCACTTCAGTTTTATGGCATTCTCAAACTTTCTTGGGCTTCACTATTTTCATCTTGTTACATTCAAAAGTTTCCTCAAATATGCCTGAGCCTTCAGAGGTATGAGCCTAATTGACTAGAACAATGGTTTATCTTCAAAAAGCGATAAGAAGATGTTGAACTACAACCTTATCGGCCCAAAATGGCAAATAGTTTTATGAAAATAAAAATCAAGCTAGAATTTAAAAATAATGCATATACCATCCATGGTTTCTTGAATTCTGGACCAAACAAAACTGCTTGTGTTACCAGACACCTTCTCGGTGCCAATGTCAAATGAAATAATTTCTTGCGGGGACTCCACTAGTGTCAGCCAATTGTGTTAACGAAGACCTGAAAATAAGCCAATCAGATTAGTAGAAAGTTGACCGTTGCTCTTGTGCTTTGAGGGTTCTCCCCTCAAACCTTTCTAAAATCGCGAATCACATGATAGGCAAGTTGTTTTTCAAACCCTATGTTCAAACACAGCTGATTCGAGAGGTGTTTACCATTTCGGCAAAAACAGCAAAAAGATTCACCAGAGCCTGAAAAACAACAAGTGAAAGGAAAGTATTCATTTTTATTCGTGTGTAGGTCAGGCAAGGTTTAGTCGTCTAGCCTGTGTCGTAATATCCATACGCAGACTAGACAAGTTCAAAGCACAGAATAAAGTGGCCAAAGGTCACAAAACGTATCTGTCTTATTTTTTTCGCTCCGAGTCCTTGTGTTCAAAAGTATATTTTTGTGTTCCAATGAGAGCATGGGTACGAAGAATTTTATCCCCATCAATCCATGCTAAATCTTTCAATTTTCGGTCTCCAAAGTTTACCTCTTCAAAAAAATTTCTTATCTCTTTCATATAAAACCAACTTTTCAGACATTGAGGTTAACTAGCTAATTCAAATTTTTAAATCTAACAAATGACAATCAGCAATTAAGTAATTTAAAAATATCATGTATATTTTGAAACTAATAACTAGACATGCTATTAAATCTAGCCAAAATTGTGCCCCCGGGGGGGCTTATTCGTCTACCCTAAAAGCTCTGTTAAGCCCCCGGGGGGGGGGCTCATTCATTTCTTCAGTCCTAGAGAGGGATTGAAAGAGAGGGGGCTTATAAGAGAGGGGGGCTTGTTAATAATTCAATGTTAAAATTGTTATAAAAATGCCCTTATTCATTTTTTGTTCTGAAAAAGTCATACAAATGTTCTCAAAAACTCTGCTAGCAGCTTCGAAAGCTTCTCAAAATCAATCAATTATAATGTCCTCATCGTCCCCAGAGTCACCAAGATCAATTGATATCCCCATATACATCTAAGGCACACAAGGAAATATTTATATGGGCCATAATTAATGCACATGATCTTATCGTCACCACACCTATCAAGTGACCCACTCAATGCACATGTTTTCTTTGTTTGACACCAGGGACTTAAGAGGGGACTTAAGAGGGGGCTTAATAGAGAGGGGCTTATTTCAGAATTTTGCTTGATAAGGGGACCTAAAAGGAAGGGGGCTTAATAGAGCTTTTACGGTATTGACAATCATCAAAACCACAAGCTTTACAAAACCACCAATTACGGTGAATCATCAAAACCACAACCTTTCGCTCAGCCCGAGACTACTGCCAAAATACCGTTGTGATGTAAATCATAGATCATATAATTTGTTCCTTGTCACTGATCAAAGATAAGATGATCATAGTCTTATTATTATTACATGGTATCGTATCTTCATTGTAGTAGTCAATTTAAGTGAATGTTTTTAATTAAAAACCAGGCCCACCATCTTTTACAATATAATATTTTAGAAAGACCACAATTAAAATTGTAGAATAGATGCCAAGCAGTCCACAACCAAGGTTTTTTCACGTGCAGTTCTACACAAAGTGTGCAGTTCTGAAAACTTTTCGGGCACCTGTAAAGAAAAAACTGTGCAGTAACCATCCCTCTTGCCCTTTGATAGGAGGGGCAAGTGGGGCCACAGTTCCCGTTTCATAAAAGTTTCCTAAACATTAGCCTTTTGTAATTTTCAAAAAGATTCATATGAAATCCTGACTACAGTGCCTTACTCACAACGAAGTTTTTTGTAAAAAGCTTGTAAAAAAATCTTATGACAACAGTTAGTTCCTTTTCAAGATGCCTACAGTCAATCGAAATATAATGACAGTTACAAAAGAATTTGTGGAAGCTGGAAAATTATTTTGCAAATGCCCCTTTATTATAGCCAGTGCTGCAGACCTAACTTGAAGTAGAGGATAAACTTCACCTCTTTTTTTCAAGTAAGGGGTCTGGAACACAGGCTACTTTACTGAAGTTTGCCCCTTGCCCCTTGGTCGTTCCAACGTCTCTGGGATCTGTCATCTATTTCTTTTAGTGAAGGAATTTTTTCAAAAGTTGCAATTGCTCTAAAAATTTCCACACCTAATTGCTTATAAAGCCTAAACATTGTCTTATTTAGCCTTCGACAAACTTCTGTACTTCGAGTGGCTTATTAAATTCAACATCCACACCATGAACATATTTGCATGCACCTGAATGAATATTTTCAAGACCAGACCAGTTTTTGTGCCCCCAGATTTCATAATTTGTGCCATAATCTGAAATAGTGACAACTACATGGTCTTAAGTAAAGCTTGGAAAGATTTCCATTCACCGCCCTTTATTTTCGCACCAGGTATATCAAATTTACAAGTTATCAAATTTCTTTAGCATGGTCCATAATCTTTCAATTTTGCAAAAAGTGTGCAAAATCAGTCTCCCTGCTCTGATTATAAATAGCTTAAACCCTGCGCACTATAACAGTTTATGAAATAAGGTTTAGTAAATCTGCAAAAATACCAAACAACCTCTCATTTTCTTTTTCGTTCATAACGTATGAATTCCATTATTTTTGTTTTGCTGATATTCACATCACTTATGTAAAGATTCAGATGAAAAACCTGGAGTTTGTCAGTCGAATAGGCTATCATTCCGCTCACCGACATTAAACCCAAGGCAAAACTTTACCTAGAAATTGATCTCAATTATTCAAAAATAGAGCAAAGTGAAGTGAACTTAACAGACATTCCTGCCTAACCCCATGAGAACAAGAAAAAATAACAGTTACACTCTTCTTTATAAGAACCAGTAAATTTGAGTTCAGGCTGACTGTTCTTAATTTTTTTGAAAATCTCAGGCTGGATTGTTCGTAATTTTTTCTTAATCTGATAGGGTGTAAGCAGTGCGAGTGCTAGCTTTTTCGCTCAAGGGTAGTGTACAGGCCTCATTTGCCAACAAACTGAGTGACACAGCCTTAATTTGCTGACAAATTTGAATATTCACCGAAAAAGCACCCACACATCGCTAAAAATCTTCGATTTTGAGAAAAGACGTTGTTCAAAATTGCATTTTGCAGAAGCTCAGCCTCAGCTTGTTCTTAATTTGTTCTTAACTTTTGACCAATTTTGAGGTTCGTGTTCTTTGAGACTCGTATAAAATTGTTCTAATAGAAAAAGAGTGTAGTCCATTAATCAATATAAATAGCTTATTGCCAAAAATCGATGAATTGCGTCTCATTGCTAAAAACTCAAATGCTGCTGTCATTGGAATTACTGAATCAAAACTTAATGACACTACAGTTAAAATTGACGGATATGAAATGAAAAGATCTGACGGAAATAGATAAGGTGGGGTGTTGCTTCTTATATCAGAAAAGATCTGTCTTTGAATTTAAGAGAACATTTTTCACCAGACCTAGAAAATATATTTCTCGACATATTTTTGCCAAAATCCAAACCAGTCCTAGTTGACATCTTTCACAGACCGCCCAACTCAACTGGTTTTCTTAAAAAACTAAATGTAGCAATTTCAAAAACAGAAGATTTTGATAATCAAGAGGTTTTTGACTTGGGGGACTTGAATATTGACTTGATGGACAGTAAAAGGGGTAACTCTAATGGGATCAAGCGCTACAGGGAATTCTGCTCCCTTCACGGACTTAAGCAACTAATCCAAGAACCGACACGCATAACTGAAAAATCCGAAACTCCATTAGATCATATAATTTCTAACTCGGCTCAAAAAGTTTCTCAGCATGGTGTTCATAACCTAGGCTTATTTGATCACCAAATAATCTACTGTACAAGGAAAAGTACTAGAGCCAAAAATCATCATCAGAAATACATCAAAATCCGTTCAATGAAAAATTAGAGCAGAGAACGTTTTCTAAAAAAAACTCAAATTACTTGAGTTCCCAAATTACTTTGAGTTTACTAATACCAATGCTGCCAATTCTCACTTCTTACAACTGATTACTTCCGTCATCGATGGGATAGCTCCATTAAAAGAGATTCGCGTGAGAAGCAACACTCAGGAATGGATGGACGAAGAAGTTCTTGAAGGGATCAGAATTCGAGACAAGCTGCTTTACAAATTTAAGAGGACAAAAACCCATACAGATAATGCTAGTTTTAGAAAAGCCCGAAATAGCATTTTGTCACAAAAAAAAAGAGAAATTGTGTAATAATTAAAAGATTTGCCTATAAATGGATGGGAAACACTCTTTTGATGATAAAATCAACTATAATATTTTTAAGAATTTCTTCTCAAATTGGTAAGCCATATTCCTAAATTTCACAACGAATTGCTCAATAGCGAGACAACGTGGACAACTGGCAGGAGGAGGCGCAGGACAGAGAGGTGTGAGGTAAAGAGTACGTGTGGCCGTCTCTTCCTCTTATGAGGAGCGCATCAACGTGCAAAAGGGCAAAGGGCAAAGGAAACACTCTATTGCAGCGGCTGCGGCAACTCCTGCTGCACCGGGCAGCAGCTACGTCTGTCCTACGTGTGGACGAGTGTGCGGCTCGCGCATTGGCCTTTTTGCACCGGCGTGTGCACCAAAGATGATGTTGAATCGGGCATTGGTCGCTCACGACCCGCTGAAGTAGAAGAAGATGAACACAATTCATACTCATTGCATGATTAGAGTAGCTCTTGGAAAGAAATTACATATCAAGACAGCTTGAAAGCATAACGAGTCAACAAAGAACGAAAAGAAATGGAACCCAAGATATGTATCAGCCCTCAAATGTAAGTTTCGATCGTGTAGCTCATTAAAAGTAGAAAAAGCTTCTTCGCTCTAATAAAGAAGCAAGTTTGAATAAAGAAGCCAATTAATGCTGATTCTGAGTTGAAAGAGGGGCGACAAACATTATGGGTCAATATCTCAATCGCTGTTTCCTTGAAAGAAGCTTTTTCGTTCCTGATGACTATTGTACTAGATGCCGCTTTCTATTGCAACACGTTTTGACTGTTTCGTACATCATCGGGTACAAAGTTGATGCTGCAAGGGTTGCTATAAACGCCTAAAGATGTAAGATGGAGTAAGTTTCATCA